TTATTGACTTCTTCAGAGTCCCAGGGCTATTCCAAGGTGCTGGACCAAGGCTAGAATTTAATCAACTAATTCCAAGTCCTGGGGAGTTTTTCCTACAATTCAAAAATAAAGGACTCGGGAAATATCTATACTTAAAATAAAACTAATTACATATTTTTTAAAAACTATAGCAGTTGAAAACATTGACAGCCAGTTTGGTAAAGGAATGAGTATCAGTTGAAGAAATATTCTTCTTGGTTAAGAGTGCAATTAGGTGACCCTTTAACTGCTCACATTTATCAAACACTGTGTTCTACAGCATCATCACACTTGAGCTCCTAGAGAAGCCTTCAACCATAGTTCATTATCTAGCAGGTGAAAGAGTATGGATTCATACAGCAAGCCATTCCAAAACCTGTACCAACTCTGCTGTTGCCCACCTGTCTTCTGTATAGTCTTTCCCTATTTTCCTTACTAATTTCTTCTAGTGAAAAAAATAGAATGGAGGAGAGGTATTGTAAGTCACAAAGAAGACAGGAAGCAGGCCACACAGGCTTTGATTCCTATACTCACCTGCCGGCTCGGTGATCACGCCTGCACTACACTCCTGCCTCACTCAGCTTTGGGAATGCCCATGGTGAACATTGGGGGAACTTCCAAGACAGCAAGTACTAGCTCAAAGACACTGAGGGAGACTGAAGCACATCGGGGTCGAGGAAAGCCTAGGGAGAGGCCAGAAGACCTCACCAAGACGCTGGATTTGAGCTGTGCCTAGTAGAACATCTGCACACAACAAATGCTGTGCAAACAGGCAGGAGTGTGGGGACACACAGCTGTGAGGGACTGTACAAAACACAGTAGTCACATGCAGGAGGAGAATGAGGCTCTGAAGGGTCTTCCACATCAAAATAAAGAGATTGGGTTTTGTCCCAAAGGCAACAAGAATTAGCAGACACTGAGCAGCAGAGAATAATGAGCGCCCGTTTCTAAGGAATTTAATTGGCGGCCCAATGATGGATCAGCAGGATGCTTAGAGTGAAGACTAAAAGGGAAGCGGACTTGTTCCATATATGGTAGCTGACACCTGTCATCCTAGCACTTGAGAAGATGGAATTGTGGCAGGAGGATGGAATTCCAAGGCAGACTGGACTACATATGGAGTTTGATATCAGCCTGGGATAGAGAGGGAGACCCGGCCTCACTTAGGTGGAAAGAACCATAGTTTTCCCATTTTATTTCAAAGTTATAAATAGAAGTTACAAGTTCTATAATGGGACACTGTGACCAGGAAAGTGAGTCACAAAGTCCTGCTGCTCTCCGAGACAGTGAACATACTGCCTCTCTTAATGGGCCTTCATTCATTCCCTCCAGTATGCATTTAAGCTCCTAGGACATGCACACTAGCTGTCGGGAGGTTCATTTGAATCAACAGGCAACACCATTTGCTTATAAAACAAAGAAAGCATTCAAAAATGAAAAAAAGCGGAAATAAAGTAGCGTCAAAGGGGATAATAAGTACTTTCTGAGAGACAGAATGTGGAAATGGGGTTTAGGTTTAAGAAAGCAAACCTCCTCTGTAAGTAACCATTTCGTTGAAGCTGCACAAAATTGTAGACGTTCTCACAAGAAGCTCATGCTGTGGGCTCTGATTAAGTTTAATTGGCTCCCGTGTGAATGCCCCTCATTCCTTCTCATGAAAGAACAGCGAATCCATTGAAAGGGTAATTTGAGTTTACTAGTCACAATCCATCCACTTGCTTATAATCTGTTTAGGATTTTCAAAATACGATGCAGATATAATGCATTAGGGAGCCGTCAGCCCCAAATGTGTCGATTTCAACCTGTCAAATAGGCTTGTCGCTGTAGCTGTGCAACAGGCTGTACACATTTTGCCCCCACAGATGATGAAGGGAGCTTCGGTCTGTTGAGAGCCCTGAGCCAAGCCAAGGACGGGAGGGAAGGCAATCTACAGGGCAACCCTGAATCCTTCCTGAGGTTCTGATTGTAATGCACTCTCCATTTAATTAACTGACTTTAAATGTAATTCCACAAAAAGTAAAAGGATTGAGGATCTTTTCCCAGATTCAAAGGAAGTGAGTTATTTGGGAGCAAAACCTCCGTAAAATTAAACAATATTGTTTAATTTTGGACTTGTGCCACAACAAAACAATATTTCAAAAATGCGAGCCTGGAAAATGACATATGATCAGTTACTTCTTCTGTTGCTCGAGCTACTAATACCATTTGTAGCTGTGGGTTGAAAACCCAATAAGCCAAGTGGGGTGGTGGTACACACCTGTCAACCCAGCAGTTGGGTGCGTGCAACAGGATGATTGGGAGTTTGGGACCAGTCTGGGTTACAGAGTGAGACCTCTTTCACATAGAACAACAAAAACCACCAGGCAAAACAAAGCAAGAAACAACAGGTGTTCTTACACACGGTGGTAATCCTGGAACACAGTCTAATGCGTCTGGTTGTCTGGCCTCTTCCCTGCTTTCCCATCAGACAGATGCTCTTTTCTGGTCCAGTCATGTGCACCGTGATTCCTGACTACTTAGATGAGTGTCTCAGTACATAAAGTTCTTGGAAAGGTCCAGGGGTGTGTCACAAATACATAGATACTCATCAATTATCTGATTGAATCTGCGCTATTGTTTACAATGTTTCATTTGATTTTTGTTTCTCCACTAAAAGGAAATAAAATCATTTAAAATTTTCCATTTTATATTTGAAAGAAGTGAAGACTTAGCCTGTTGGAACTGAGAATAGCAGTGTTGTTAGGGTGTGAGAGTGACATTTGCTGGACAAATACCACATCCTGGAAATAATTGTTACGACATTTTAATGCAGTCTCACCATGAAGCAGTTCCTTGTAAATGACAAAACCAGACCATGTGTCAACAATTGTTTCACGAGCGAAAACTTCAATACCCTTAGAAGTTCCTATCATAAAACCCGCAGGAGTGGGAAAAATACCTGGCAGAAAGAAATGCTCTAAAGCATAGACTATGACAAAACAATTCATTGAAAGAAATACCCAATGTGTTAGTGGTTCAGATGCTCACCGTGACTTCATATCCTTCCTATGAACATTAAAAGGAAACAAAATCCAAAGGACTTCTAGAAATGTATCTTTTCATGACTTTGATAAAACCCATTCATGTGTTTCAAGAAGAAAGCAGACTAAATTCTTAAATAATCACCAATATGATTGTCCTGTAAGAACAAACGCACTATGTTATGCTTTTTTTTTAAAGTAATTTACTTTCATTCCACGCAAAATTAAAAGATCTCTAATCTGGCGTTCTCCTCGCTGACCCCATTAAATACTCCTACATGTGCTCAGCTAATATTTGATTTGTTGAGGATCTTGTTTCAAGCTCTGTTCACCTTCTCTCTTTCTGGCCAGGTTTTCTTATTTACAACACGAAAACTTCAGGGAATATTGGAGTTCTGATGTGTTTTCCCTGTGAGGAAAAAATTAAAATCACCAGGCATGGTGACATAGGCCTGCAATCCCAGCATTCACTGGGCTGAGGCAGAAGGGATCACTGCAAGCTCAAAGCTGGACTAGGCTGCATAATATGCTCTAGACCAGCTAGATCTACATACCATGTCTCACACAACACAACTAAAAGCAGAAAAATCCCTAAGACCTTATGAGTTTTTCATTACCACAGTAAAGCTATCATTTTCAATAGCATAATTGAAAGACAGTACTAAGAAACAAAAGGTATATGCAGGTCAGTCATCTATAGAATCCTTGATTCCAAGACCAAATACATCAAAAAATTTTCACCATAGCAAAAATTTATCTCCTTAACCATGGCTATTTTCAACTGTGTTCTAAATCATCTGCTTCCCAACAAAAATCGAGTGTTCTCAGTACCCTTTGTGTTTAGTAACTGCATTAACACAGGCTCTGGCTGACCTGGCCCCTGAGGGTGGTGGTTTGGGGAAGAATGTATCTTTGTTATATACAGACACATGGCATGGGGACCAGCTGTCTCTCTACAAATATCGTTGCATGCTGTGGCCCACAGTGTACTTACAAAGGAATCTTTCAATAAGGCCTCACGAGCCAACCCTTGACAGCTACCTTCTCATAACGAATTCCATTCGAGTTGCTGTTCCTTTCAGCACAATTTTCCTGCCACAAAAATAGACTTTCTCTGAGCAGTAAAGCAGTAGTTTTTACTTCTGATGAATTTCTTGTACTTTTCAATCTCTGAGTTTGCTAACATATTTAAATATTTCTTTACTTAGCTGCTAAATCATTTTATATGATAGTCAATGTTGAAACCCTTTTATGAGTATGAAAAACAAATTCCATGTGTTCTTTAAAATAGGGGCATGTTTGATTTCTGTATTATTGTCATAGAAATTGTAAGGCCAAAGATGGGTCCTTTTACTGAATATGCAAGTTCCCCCTTAGGCCACCTTGGACTGGGCAGATTTGCAGCATTTTAAACTGGCACTTCATCCTCTTTCAGCAAGCATCCTCTGCAGATTTAATGATCAGGAACATCCTTCTGATGCATGCTGGGAGATATGGCTGCAGGGTACAGACCACAGCAGACAGTGTGTCAGATGAGGCAGAACTTCTTGTTAGGGGTGAGTATGCTAATAGTGCAGACTACAGACATGATCACCATAAATTATCATACAAAGGAATTGAAATGCATGGACTTGGGTGCCTCGCACCATGCGGTTGACGTTCACTTTCACAATCTATGTCATTTTTGCTTAACCTTTTGCCTTTGAGTGGATTATGTGGGAAACTGCTCCTTACGAACAGAGAGAGCACACATGTCCAACCTCAGGGTCCTACAAGGAAAAAGTGGCTGCTAAGTGTCAAACCAACTTAATCCCAAACAAACTCAACAACGGGGTGACTGAGGCTAAAGGTAGAGGTAAAAATCTGATGTTTGTGAATGCGGTTTTCAGGTGCAAAGCCAGAAACCCCATCACACATTATTTTTCCTTTTTCCCAACCGACTTCTAAATCCAACTCCCCAAAGCAAGAAAACTACATGTGTAAAAGGGTGACATTTATAATTGTTAAGTGACAGGATTTTTTCAAATCTGAAAATGTCAACACAAACACAATTATCTATACAAATGATGGTTAAGTGTTTTCCAGTTATGAGCTGAACCCCCAAATTCTACAGCCCCGTGTAGCTTTGTCTCATTTCAATTAAGCAACTGTCTAGAGAACACATCTCCTTTACTGGGGTATTCTTCGGAATGAGAGGTCCACATCCTAGCATGCATTTCCTCGCCTTCCTTCCCTCCTGCCCTTGGCTCTTCCTTTTAACTTGTTATTAAAGTACAATAGAGCTAGAGGTGCTTTCTAAAATCGTTGAATCATTCCAAACCAGTGCACTGCATAATACAACCCAGAAGTTTCACTAGAGCCCTACCCAGGTCCCTTTTTTCCTTTATCTGATTTTTTCAGAGAGATGTGAGGGCTCCACACCCACAACCTGGCACAGGGTATACAAGGAAACTCTTTTACAGTCCTTAACAAGAGGGATATTTTAGATTAACTGGGGCTTTATTCATTTGAAGTGTTTTTCAACTATAACTGCAAGAACTGATGGTTCTAAGAATCCTACACACTAAACCGAAGGCCTGGAGAAGCTTCCGAATCCTAGTGCATATGTGTATTGATTTGGGATAGTGCATCCACCATTGTTTCAAGTAAAATGTTTTAAAAGAACTGCGTTGCTAAGGAGTAGCTTGTTCACTGTGGGCATGTGTTTACTGAAGGCCATTTTTGTTCTTTTCTCCGTATTTTCTTCCAAGAATGTGTATGGTATCATCTGATTATAAAACTCGAACTTTCTGAAATGTTTCTCCTTTCGGTACTTTGCATTTTCAGTAGCTGAGATGTTGCTCTGTGCCTTCTGAAGGCACGAGGTTCCTGGAACTACCAACTCTACCCCACAGTCGAATTTACGCAAATTTGCTTTCTTCTCTAGCTGTGTTCTGCCTTAGTTATACGCATTTATTGTGTGCACTTGCCTCATCACTGAGGATGACGCTCCTAAAATCAGAGCTTTCCAAATGAATACCACAATTTAGACACTGATAACAAGAAACCAGTTATTTTTTTCTTGCAGGACTCTAAGTGGCAAATTTAAGTGGCAAACTACATATCCTGCTTTGTAAGTAAAATTAAACTCAACAGGGTTTAGAACATAATTCAGATTCAACGCTTTCATGCTCTGCTCTTTTAGCCTTTGGCTTTATGCCTAGTAGATGATTAAATGCATTAATTTCGGAATTGCACCCAACAGCACTTTCAAACAGGTTGCTGCGGTCTGAATATTCATGCGGCATTGAGCTCAAGTTTTCCCTTGCAGTGAGTTCAATCCACTCACCAATTCTCAATTATGTAGTTGCATTATATTTCTAAAATTGAGAAAAATGACTTGCTTCTCCTGCCTAGATAGTCTTAGAGATTTTTTTTTTTAAAGTTCAACTAAGGGTTTTAGTTCATTTATCACGATGACTTTTTGTTTAAGACAGGGTCTCCCTGTAGCCCCAGCTGACCTGGCAATTGATGATGTAGACCAGGAGGACCTAGATCTTACAGAGACTCACTTGCCTCTGCCTCCCGAGTGCTTAGATTAATGGTGTATACCACCACACCTGGCTTATGATAGTTTTTATTGCAAAGTTCTTGGCTCCTGGTAATTCAGGGAACTCCGTCCGGATGCTTGAACTTTGCTGTTTAATGTCGATTTGCAAAGTAAAATCCTGATAGCTTTATGCTTCCTGACTCCTTCCCTACGGGGCAGTCCTTCCACCCATGAAGCTGAATCAAAGCACTACATTGAATTTCTCCAGAGACTTGAAAATTCCAGCAGGAAAATTATTTTTTGAAAAAAACAACAGTTATTGAAATGTGTGTAAAGACAAGTCTATCACCCCCTGTTTGCAGAACATCAATTAAGCTCAATATTGGTCATATTTGAAGCTTACGTAGGCACAGAAGAATATAATCTTGAGATGGTATTTCAATTTTGAGTTGAGAAAACAGTCTGTAGTCTCAGATTGATAAAAACTCCTCTTTATTGCCTTATTTTCCATTAAAGAAAGGCTATAAAGTTCTTTCCTGGATTTTACCAAATCCAGCACCAGTACACTAAAGTGAAGCTTAGGGATGTGAGCATGTGACCTCACCACCACTTAGTTAAAATTTGCACCCTCCGGACTGCAGTGCTCACTGCCTCTCTTTTAGACCTTTTCCAGGGATATCTTTCCATCCAATACTTACTTATACTTTGTTGTATTCTACTGTGAATGTTTGTAGCATTACTCATTTATCTTTCACCAGTATCATCACTATCACAAAACTGAATTTACTATAAATAATTATCTGCAACATAAAGCATTTCCTCCTTCAAATTGGTTTTTAGTCAACCAGCATTACTAGAACGCCATGCATGATCTGCAGAATAAAAGAAATTATTGTACTGGAATAGAAACAGAAACTCGGGCTCTCCCTACACATCTGAACACGATTCTCTTTACTTATCGAAGTGTGTGATAACAACAACAGAGAAAGCAAGGGTAAGCCATGCTATAGGGAACCTTGTAAAAGATGGACGGAACTTCTATCATATTTTCCAGGGAAAGAATGATAGACAATTGAGAGAGATCCACAACAAGGGGAAACTCTGAAGAAATAGCAGATGTGATCTAAGAAAATAGAGAAGACTCCAGAGAAAGAAGTATCATTATTACTATTTTTTTTTATTTTTCAGAAATCAATGTTCTACACATCTCTCAAAGCAAATAACAGTAAGAAAGTTTTGTGGTTTAAACATGCTTAGCTAACTAAGTGGAAGTCAGAATGTGAGTCCTTTTTATTCTAGGTAGGTGTAGAGGAAATAATTAGGAAAATGACTTCTTTATGTTAATCTTATTCTTAATAAAAAAAAATTGTAAGTCAAGAAAGTCAGCTACGCGAGGTGCTGCACATCGGTAATCTCAGGATTGTAAGGTGCAGGAGGAAGATTGGAAATCAAGGCCAGCCACAGCTACAAAGCTCAAGCCTGGGCTGCTTGAGACTCGGGTTCAAAAAAAAATGATAATTTAAAAGAACTTTTGAGAATAGTCAAAAAGTAAAAAAAGAATCAATGACTTGTTGGCTCATTCTAAATACGCAGCCCGAAATCTGAACAGCTATTTTATTTCCTAAGTTAGTATTTACAAGATACATTTAAATTAATTTGAGAAGACTGAGCCCCCTGAAGATGTAACTGTTCTCAACCACATGGCGCTAGCCCACATCTCATCACCTGTTCTAATAGAATTCAACTTGTGTTCAATTTAATCTCCTTGACCTTTCCAATCAATTCAGCTCCATCTACTCTTTCCAGGATATCTTTTTACTTCAAAAGTTTAATCTTTCCCAGACTACCCAGTCATTTATCAGTGCTAACCTCATGCCATTAAAAGAGTGCTTTGTTGATGAAATAAGTCAATGGGTATTTGGTTATAACTTGCTGGGCACTTGTCCCTTTACACATTCATTCAGTACTTGTCATATCTGAGGCATGATCTGCACTCGAAATGAAAAGGTGAGCGGGTCTCGGACTCAATGATTCTCTTCCACCTGCGTGACAGGTGCTTTGAGAAGGTAAAGTGGAGAACGGACAGAAATGTCCTTCAGGTCACGTTCAGACTTGTACAGGAAATAGGGAGAAACTAGGAAAGAAAAATACGCAGAGCAGTAGGTCTGCACACAAAATTTGAAGGGTCTAGCACAAAATGAAAACACAGGCCTGCTTGTTCAAGGTTACCGAGAATTTTGGAACAGAGAAATCGAGGAATTAACCTAAGCCTGGGGCCCCTTCAAGCTCAGAGCTCTGGGCGATGTACAGGTTCTGCACACGTGAAGTCAAACTTCTGTACCTGTATTTTTCTATCATACCCAAGGCAAGAGGCTAGATTACAGAAAACTAGGCCATAACATTAGAGAGCCAGAGACTTCAACCAGTTTTTTATACAAAAATAATCTCTTTCATTTACTCCATCAGCCATATGTTTTGAAAGATTTTGCTTATTGGGTTGAAGGGACCATCATTGAAACTCTTAAAATTTTGATACACTTTCTTTTCAAAACAAGATCAATATGATATCAGCAAACGAGGCAATTTAATCCCAGCCAACCTCAAGGAGACACCCTTTTAACCAGCTGTGAAGTTTAATTACTTTGTGTATTTTTAAGAGTGGAAAATAACATAAAGATACGAATTTCCTCTTAAATGGAAAATAATTTGATAACCTTTGATTAAACACTGCGCACACTCACTCTGAGCTCTACTGGTTAGTGATTCTTAGCAAAAGAAGAATGTTTGGGAATTTTTGGCATTTTTCTCTTGAAGAGATTCCTGTACCATTTCCTTCCCAGGACTTGAGGAAAAATGAAACTCAATAAAAACAATAAATATACCTAAAATTTATTAAGTGATGATATTTAAACCAGTATGAATGTGTTCTGCACTTCTCACAGTATGCTTGATGTCGATGTAGATTTTAAATTGACATCAATATCTGTGCATCAGTTTTCTTTAAGAGTGAGTTTCTTTTATCTAAAC